AGCAGTAGTAGACAGAGCAAGATCCAGCATCAACGAGGTCAAAAGCTCAGCAAATAGCCTGGAGGGACTGACAACCTCAAATCTACGACTTCAAGGGTGATAGACTGATTACATCGTCTTCACATCTCTACTGCTCCTGCCTACTTTCTGTACTCGACTGAAGAAGCCTACTGTGTAGGCGAAACGTTTCGGAATAAAGTTGCCTAAATGTTGCCTATGTGTCTTATCTACCAAAGGAAATAATGCCGATGGTGACACTTCAAATTGCTAGTGCTCCCTCATTTAGAATATTAATCAATGCTGACGGCCCCGTTTAAAGCAGGAGAAATATCAGAGCTGGAACAAATACAGAGATCGTTTACGGCTCGTACTGAGCCAGTAAAGCACCTAAATTACTGGGAACGCCTTCAAGTCTCGAACATGTACTCATTGGAGCGGAAGAGAGATGCATGATAATATACACCTGGAAAGTACTCGACGGCCTGGTCCCAAATCTGCACACTCCCATAACATACTGGAGTGAGAGATATGGGATGAAGTGTAAAATAAACCCACTGAGGAGCAGGGGTGCGGTGGGAACAATAAGGGAACACTGTATCAACATCCGGGGTCCTAGATTATTCAACATCTTACGAGAAGATTTCTGAAACACGGCTGCACGGCTGGAACAAGTGTAGAAGCCTTCAAGAGGAAGCTGCACAAGTATCTTCACCAGGTGCCAGATCAACCAGGTTGTGATGGATATGTGGGGCAGCGGGCCTCTGGCAGCAACAGCCTGGTTGATGAGGCAAGCACCGGACGAGCCTGGCCCATGGCCGGGCTCTGATAGTAGTTAAACTCTCGAAACTCTTCAAAGGTATATCAGAGGTATATCGCATTAAAGGATCACAACAATGTTGCCATTACTACTGCAAGGAAAATGATAGACTGGATAACTACAACTTTGAAAACAGGCTGAGCCAAAGATGACACACTAAAGTCAATTGTTCTCCCTAAGCTGCAATATTGCTGTATACTAACAGCCCTTCCCCCCTCAAGTCAGGCAAGACTGTGAAGCTGGAAAACGTACAGAGAACGTTAACTATTTGTACATACGCAAGCATCTGAACTACTGAGAACGTTTAAAGGCCCCTGAATTGTATTTCTTAGAACATAGGCGAAAAAAAAGTATATATTTACACCTAGAAAATCCTGGAGAGACTGGTCCGAAATCTGCACACACAAATAATCACTGAATGACAAGAAACTTAGCATATGGTGCAAAATACCTCCACTAAAAGAAGCAGGGGTGCGACGAGTACACTAAGAAAACTCTTTACCAGTGTTACAGGTCCTTGACTCTTTACGGCCTCGCCCCCGTTCATAAGGGGAATTAACCAACAAGCTTATGACAGTCTTCGATAGGGAAATGGACAAGTTCCCTCTTGCACCACAGCCGTACTATGTTTCGTGATTACTGCGGCCAGCAGTAACAGCCTGGTTGATCAGGCTTTGATCCTCCAAGAGGCCTGGTCTGACACCGAGCCGCGGGGACACTGACCTTTAGAAACGTCTCGTATCAGATACCACAAGGCCTGGCCTGGGACACAGCTGCAGGGGTGCTGACCCCCGATACCGTCTTCGGGTAAAGTTATACCATAACAGCCTGACCTGAGGTTAGGCTTCTTCGTTGATTGCCTAATGAACCAGCTGTTCTTGGCAGTGGTGACGACCCCCCCAATATATAAATCTGACTGCCTGGCTGATATAACACTATAGGAACCAGTGGTCCAGTTTCCTTTTTCAAACTTTTGTTGCGGCAAAATTTCTGATATATTCTGGTAGCAGGTTTGAGATATACTACTTTTTCCCTCTAGACTGATATATTGTCGCACATTAACAGCCTTTTTTTAATTAAGACGGACGAAATTATAGACCCAAAGAATGCACGGAGAACCTTCAACGCACGAAAAACTTCAGTAAAGCACCTGAATTACTGGGAACATATGAAGTCCCAGCCGTTTTCCATGAAATACAAGCAGGAAAGATGCATTATAATGTGTACCTGAAAAATCCTAGAGAGCTTGTCCCAAATCTGCGTCATGCACACACATCACTTCCCACGAAATGAATTGGCTTTGCAAAACCTTAACAGCCTTCTACTGAGAGATTGCCAAAAGACCCCAGGCTATCGAGAGAAAACTCGACAAGTTCTTCAAGCCAGTTACTGATCAGCCCAGCTGTGGTTCGTACGTTGGACTGCGTACGGCCAGCAGTAACAGTTCGGTTGATCAAGCCTTGATCCATCAGCAAGCCCTGTCAAGGACTGGGCCGCAGAGACGTTAACACCCCCCGTACCCAACAAAAAATAACGAAAAAACTTCAATTGACAACGAATGTTGTTAGTGTTGCCGCTAGCGGACAACAGCAAACCTAATCAGTCAGGCTGATCACTCAGCTGCATAAGGCAGTGATTTACTAGCGGTAATAATCAGTCTTTGTCTTCTCTAAACTTATGGTGACACTTACAAGCTTCCCTAAGTCAAGAAAACTGCCTCCACACAATTTCGAAGAGTTTTATGAAGTGTTAGGGCAAGTGGTCCCAGGCTAATCTGCTGGGGTCCCAGACCAGACAGCATTGGCCCCAGGCCAACAGCTGGGGTTCGAGACCAGACAGTAATGGTCCCAGACCAGGCAGCTGAGGTCCTATACCAGACAGCAGTGGTCCCAGGACAGGCAGCTGAGGTCCTAGATCAGACAGCAGTGGTCCCAGGAGAGGCAGCTAAGGTCCTAGATCATTCAGCAGTGGTCCCAGGACAGGCAGCCGAGGTTCTAGACCCGACAGAAGTGGTCCCAGGACAGGCAGCCGAGGTTCTAGACCCAACAGAAGTGGTCCCAGGACAGGCAGCCGAGGTCCTAGACCAGACAGCAGTTGTCCCAGGACAAGCAGCCGAGGTCCTTTATCATATAGCAGTGGTCCCAGGACAAGCAGGCAGCCAGACCCTAAGATTTATCGCACTTCGTTACCCGGCTCCCAACGGTGACCTGTCGCTCATTATTATAACGTTCATATCAGACGATGGCAGCCTCTCCCCCCCCCCAACACACCCAGCCAACGATGCCTCTTCCCCCCTACACCCAGCCCACGTTGTTGCCTCCCCCCTACACCCAGCCCACGTTGTTGCCTCCCCCCTACACCCAGCCCACGTTGTTGCCTCCCCCCTACACCCAGCCCACGTTGCCTCTTCCCCCTACACCCAGCCCACGTTGCCTCTTCCCCCTACACCCAGCCCACGTTGCTTCTTCCCCCCTACACCCAGCCCACGTTGTTGCCTCCCCCCTACATCCAGCCCACGTTGTTGCCTCCCCCTACACCCAGCCCACGTTGTTGCCTCCCCCCCTACACCCAGCCCACGTTGTCTCCCCCCTACACACATCCCACGTTGCCTCTTCCCCCCTACACCCAGCCCACGTTGCCTCCCCCTCTACACCCAGCCCACGTTGCCTCTTCCCCCCTACACCCAGCCCACGTTGCCTCTTCTCCCCTACACCCAGCCCACGTTGCCTCCCCCTACACCCAGCCCACGGTGCCTCTCCCCTACACCCAGCCCACGTTGTTGCCTCCCCCTACACCCAGCCCACGTTGTTGCCTCCCCCTACACCCAGCCCACGTTGCCTCCCCCCTACACCCAGCCCACGTTGTTGCCCCCCCCTACACCCAGCCCACGTTGCCTCCCCCCTACACCCAGCCCACGTTGTTGCCTTCCCCCACACCCAGCCCACGTTGTTGCCTTCCCCCACACCCAGCCCACGTTGTTGCCTTCCCCCACACCCAGCCCACGCTGTAACCTACCCACCACACCCAGCCCACGCTGTAACCTACCCACCACACCCAGCCCATGTTATTGCCTGCCCCCCGACACTCGGCTCACGTTGTTGGATGACCCCCCCACACTCAGCCCACGTTGTTACCTGCTCCCCCCACACCCAGCCCACGTTGTTGCACGACCCCCACACTCAGCCCACGTTGTTACCTGCTCCCCCCACGCCCAGCCCACGTTGTTGCCTGCCTCCTTGTACCCAGTCCATATTGTTGCTTGCCCCCACACCCAGCCAACGTTGTTGCTTCCCCCCCCCATACCCAGCCCACGTTCTTGCCTGTCACACACTCAGCCCACGTTGTTGCCTAACCCCCACACCCAGCCCACGTTATCTTCTCCCCCCACACCCAGCCCACGTTGTTGCCTGTCACTCACCCAGCCCACGTTGTTGCCTGTCACTCACCCAGCCCACGTTATCTTCTCCCCCCACACCCAGCCCACGTTGTTGCCTGTCACTCACCCAGCCCACGTTGTTGCCTGTCACCCACCCAGCCCACGTTGTTGCCTGTCACCCACCCAGCCCACGTTGTTGCCTGTCACTCACCCAGCCCACGTTATCTTCTCCCCCCACACCCAGCCCACGTTGTTGCCTGTCACTCACTCAGCCCACGTTGTTGCCTGTCACTCACTCAGCCCACGTTGTTGCCTGTCACTCACCCAGCCCACGTTGTTGCCTGTCACTCACCCAGCCCACGTTATCTTCTCCCCCCACACCCAGCCCACGTTGTTGCCTGTCACTCACCCAGCCCACGTTGTTGCCTGTCACTCACCCAGCCCACGTTGTTGCCTGTCACTCACCCAGCCCACGTTGTTGCCTGTCACTCACCCAGCCCACGTTGTTGCCTGTCACCCACCCAGCCCACGTTTTCTTGACCCACAAGATGTGACAGACTGGTACCTATATAATACTGTTAAAGAGGTTTGTATGTCTTTCTCTGTCCGGCAACTAAATCTATCTTTTCCGTACCACTGAAGAAGTCTGGTGTGTAGGCGAAACGTTCTGGCAATATTTCAACAAGTGGAAATGCATATTACTTGCTATAGTCATGCGTATGCCTTATATCTATAAGACATATAAATACTATTTCACAAGTTATTGATCAACTTTGGGCATTACCATTAACAACAGGATATACTTACCGAGTTGAGGAGGAAGTTCCCGGTCACGGTGGATGAGATCAAGGAAGAGGTTGGTGATGAGGTAGAGGTGTTCCATGCCCCGGGGGTTGAAGTCATCCTTGGCACGGTAAGTCTTGTTGACGTAGGCTTGGCTGTATGAGATGCGTGGCTTGCTCTCTGGCACCTGTGACAGCACTGCCTCCGTCGAGGCAGCCTCCTCATCCATCACAGGCTCCTCAGTCATCACTTTGCCCGCCTGGTTCTCGTACACATCCTGCAGGAGGTGTGTATCATCAGAGGCCACGATGGCAGTCGCTGCTGCAGGAGACGCCTCTACTAGGATCTCCAAATCAGAGTCAAAATCGGGAGTAGCGGCTGAGACAGGTGCAGAGAGCAGAAGCAGGCACGCCAGTACCAATGCCAGGGACCTCATGGTGGCCCATGGCACGCTCAATTTCAGAAGTCTCATGGTGGCAGTGTGTCACTACTAAGAGTCAGGAGGGCGGCGCCTGCACCAACACTCCTCCACAGTCACCCTCCTCAACACCTCACTACATCAACATCACGTCTGGAAAAGAAAAACCTTAGATGAACACTAGGTCACGACAAACCATTACTGACAACTTAAACCTAGATATTACAACAACGGACAAGTCATTTCATCTTCCCCCCTTTCCTTCGTTATACCGATTTCATCTATTTTTTCTTTGGGTTAGCCTACCTGCATTAAGTGCCGATTAGCTGAAAATGCAAAAATTTGTGCAAGTTAGATAATCATTATTTGTTAAAGTTGTAATATTTGAATGTTGCAACAGAGTTGATGAGAACCACCTAGATAACAACTAGTTTTGATGATTCACAATACATGGCACTGCACCTTACTGCATTAACGGTGGTATGTTCACCTAAATTACTGGGAACGCCTGCAAGTCTTGAACATGTATTCACTGGGCGGAGAAGAGAGGGGTACATGATAATATATACCTGGAAGGTACTCGAGGGCTTGGTCCCAAATCTGCACACTGCCATATCAACATACTGGAGTGAGAGATATGGGAGGAAGTATAAAATAAACCCAGTGAAGAGCAGGGGTGCGGTGGGGACAATAAGGAAACACTGTATCAACATCCAGGGTCCCAGACTATTCAACATCTTACGAGAAGATTTTTGAAACACGGCTACACGGCTGGAACAAGTGTAGAAGCCTTCAAGAGGAAACTGGACAAGTATCTTCACCAGATGCCAGATCAACCAGGCCGTGATGGATATGTGGGGCAGTGGGCCTCTGGCAGCAACAGCCTGGTTGACAAGGCAAGTACCAGACGAACCTAGCCCATGGCCGGGCTCAGAGAGAAGAGAAGCTCTCGAAACTCTTCAAAGGTACATCAAAGGTATGACTGTCACTGCACAATACTGTCTTTATGACAGCATAATCATTCACAGGATGTGATGTTGCCTAATACTTTATGATGGAATGTTTACTTAAGGGAAGCGACACTACCCATTACTCTCGCTCGTAGCAGTAGTGGCACTGCACGATAATTACATCACTTGAAAAAATATAATCGATTCTGACAAGATACACCCGAGAGTTCTCAAAGCACTCCCAGGGCAATGAGAATATCTATTTCTATTATACACCCACTTGTACTATCAAACGTACACACACACACACACAACTATAGACCAGTGTCACTTACGTGTACAGTATGCAAAGTCATGGAGAAGATTATCAGGAGGCGTGTGGTGGAGCACCTGGAAGGGAACAAGCTTATAAATGGCAACCAGCACGGATTCATGGAAGGCAAATCCTTGTCACAAACCTACTGGAGTTTTATGAAAAAGAAGAAGAAGAAGAAGAAGCAGAAGAAGAAGAAGAAGCAGAAGAAGAAGAAGCAGAAGAAGAAGAAGCAGAAGAAGAAGAAGCAGAAGAAGAAGAAGCAGAAGAAGAAGAAGCAGAAGAAGAAGCAGAAGCAGAAGAAGAAGCAGAAGAAGCAGAAGAAAAGAAGAAGCAGCAAAGAAGAAGCAGAAGAAGAAGCAGAAGAAGAAGAAGCAGAAGAAGAAGAAGCAGAAGAAGAAGAAGCAGAAGAAGAGCAGAAGAAGAAGAAGCAGAAGAAAAGAAGCAGAAGAAGAAGAAGCAGAAGAAGAAGAAGCAGAAGAAGAAGAAGCAGAAGAAGAAGAAGCAGAAGAGAAGAAGAAGCAGAAGAAGAAGAAGAAAGAAGCGAAAGAAGCAGAAGAAGAAGCAGAAGCAGAAAGAAGAGAAGAAGAAAAGCAGAGAAGAAGAAGCAGAAAGCAGAAGCAGAGAAGCAGAGAAGAAGAACAGAAGAAGCAAAAAAAGAAGAGAAGAAGAAGAAGCAGAAGCAGAAGAGAGAAGCAGAAGAGAAGAAGAGAAGCAGAAGAAGCAGAAAGAAGAGAAGAAGAAGAAGCAGAAAAGAGAGCAAGAAAAGCAGAAGAGAAGCAGAAGCAGAAGAAGCAGAAGCAGAAGAAGCAGAAGAAGAAGAAGCAGAAGAAGCAGAAGAAAGAAGAGAAGCAGAAGAAGAAAAAAGAAGCAGAAGAAGAAGAAGCAGAAGAAGAAAAGCGAAGCAGAAGAAGAAGAAGCAGAAGAAGAAGAAGCAGAAGAAGAAGAAGCAGAAGAAGAAGAAGACAGAAGAAGAAGAAGCAGAAGAAGAAGAAGCAGAAGAAGAAGAAGCAGAAGAAGAAAGCAGAAGAAAGAAGCAGAAGAAGAAGAAGCAGAAGAAGAAGAAGCAGAAGCAGAAGAAGCAGAAGCAGAAGAAGCAGAAGCAGAAGCAGAAGAAGAAGAAGAGAAGAAGAAGAAGAAGAAGAAGAAGAGAGAAAGAAGAGAGAAGAAGAAGAAGAAGAGAAGAAGAAAGAAGAAGAAGAAGAAGAAGAAGAAGAAGAAGAAGAAGAAGAAGAGAAAGAGCAGCAGCAGCAGCAGCAGCAGCAGCAGCAGCACAGCAGCAGCAGCAGCAGCAGCAGCAGCAGCAGCAGCAGCAGCAGCAGCAGCAGCAGCAGCAGCAGCAGCAGCAGCAGCAGCAGCAGCAGCAGCAGCAGCAGCAGCAGCAGCAGCAGCAGCAGCAGCAGCAGCAGCAGCAGCAGCAGCAGCAGCAGCAAGCAGCAGCAGCAGCAGCAGCAGCAGCAGCAGCAGCAGCAGCAGCAGCAGCAGCAGCAGCAGCAGCAGCAGCAGCAGCAGCAGCAGCAGCAGCGCAGCGCAGCAGCAGCAGAAGACAGAAGAGAGAGAGCAGAAGAAGCAGCAGCAGAAGAAGAAGAAGAAGAAGAGAAGAAGAAGAAGCAGAAGAAGAAGCAGCAGCAAGCAGAAGAAGAAGAAGAAGAAGAAGAAGAAGAAGAAGAAGAAGAGAGAAGAAAGAAGAAGAAGAAGAAGAAGAAGAAGAAGAAGAAGAAGAAGAAAGAAGAAGAAGAAGAAGAAGAAGAAGAAGAAGAAGAAGAAGAAGAAGAAGAAGAAGAAGAAGAGAAGAAGAAGAAAAAAGAGAGAGAGAGAGAGAGAGAGAGAGAGAGAGAGAGAGAGAGAGAGAGAGAGAGAGGGGGGGGGTAGATTGCACATTCTTGGAGTGCAAGAAGGCCTTCGACACAGTTCCTCACAAGAGATTAGTGCAAAAGCTAGAGGATTAGGCACGTATAACAGGATGGGAACTACAATGGATCAGAGAATACCTGACAGGAAGGCCCACAACGAGTCATGGTATGTGACGAGGTATCACAGTGGGCGTCTGTGACGAGCGGGGTTCCACAGAGGTCAGTCCTAGGACCAGTGCTATTTTTGGTATATGTGAAGACATGATGGAAGAGAGAGACTCAGACGTGTGTGTGTTTGCAGATGATGTGAAGTTAATTATCAGAATTAAATCAGATGAGGACCAGACAGGACTAAAAAGAGACCTGGACAGCCTGGAACCTTGGTCCAGCAACTGGCTCCTCGAAATTAACCCAGCGAAATGCAGTCATGAAGATCGGGAAAGGGCAAAGACCGCAGACAGAGTATAGGCTAGGTGGCCAAAAACTGCAAACCTCACTCAAGAAAAAGGATCTTGAGGTAAGTATAATACCGAGCACATGTCCTGAAGCACACATCAACCAGATAACTGCTGCAGTATATGGGCGCCTGGCAAACCTGAGAATAGTGTTCCGATATCCTCAGTAAGGAATCGTTGAAGACTCTGTACACAGTGTACGTCAGGCCCATACTAGAGTATGCAGCACCAGTTTGGAACCCACACCTGGTCAAGCACGTCAAGAAATTAAAGAAAGTGTAAAGGTTTGCAACAAGGCTAGTTCTAGAGCTAAGGGGAATGTCCTACGAAGATAGGTTAAGGGAAATCGGCCTGATGACAATGAAGGACAAGAGGGTTAGGGGAGACATTATAACGACATACAAAATACTGCGAGGAATTGACAAGGTGGACAGAGACAGCATGTTCTAGAGACGGGACACAGAAACAAGGGGTCATAACTGGAAGCTAAAGGCTCAGAGGAGTCAAAGAGATGCAAGGAAGTATTTCTTTAGTCACAGAGTTGTCAGGAAGTGGAATAGTCTGGCAAGCGACGTAGTGGAGGCAGGAACCATACAGTTTTAAGACGAGGTATGATAAAGTTCAGGGAGCAAGAAGAGAGAGGACCTAGTAGCGATCAGTGAAGAGGCGGGGCCAGGAGCTGTGTATCGACCCCTGCAACCACAAATAGGTGAGTACACACAGGGGGGAGGTCACAAGAAACGACCGCGAAGTATGTGAGGAGCTCAACACGAGATTCAAAGAAGCGTTCAGAGAGGAGACAGAAGGGACTCCAGAAAGACGCAGAGGTGGGCTACATTATCAAGTGTTGGACACTACATACAATCGAGGAAGAAGTGAAGAGGCTGCTAAGCGAGCTAGATACCTCAAAGGCAATGGGGTCGGATAACATCTCTCCATGAGTCCTGAGGGAGCAGAGGCACTGTGTACCACGAACAGCAATCTTCAACACATCTATCGAAACAGGGCGACTACCTGAGGTACGGAAGACAGCAAATGTAGTCCCAATTATTAAAAAAGGGAGACAGACGCGAAGCATTAAACTACACAGTTTCAGAGATGGGAAATCCTGTCACAAACCTACTGGAGTTCTATGACAGGGTGACAGCAGTAAGACAATAGAGAGGAATGGGTAGATTGCATTTTCTTAGACTATAAGAAGGCGTTTGACAGTTCCACACAAGAGATTAGTGCAAAAGCTGGAGGACCAGGCAGGGATAACAGGGAAGGCACTACAATGGATCATGGAATACTCGTCAGGAAGACAACAGCGAGTCATGGTACGTGGGGAGGTGTCAGAGTGGACGCCTGTAACGAGCGGGGTGCCACAGGGGTCAGTCCTAGGACCAGTGCTGTTTCTGGTATTTGTGAACGGCATGGCGAAAGGAATAGATAACGACGTGTCCCTGTTTGCAAATGATGTGAAGTTGATGAGAAGAATTCAGTCGGACGAGGACCAGGCAGAACTATAAAGAGATCTGGACAGGCTGCAGGCCTGGTCCAGCAACTTGGTCCTGGAGTTCAACCAAATAACTGCTGCAGC